CGTTACCTCCTCTTCTTATAAGTTTTCTTTCTCCTTCCTTGCACCAGGCTACTAGCCATCTCTGCAACTGCCTCTAACAGTCCAGGTTCACCAGTATTTATCCATCATCAATATTTATCCATGAGGTCTTGGGCAGACCCCAACTAATTGCTACATCTACAGGTTAAAAGACCCCACGACCAAGCTTGTTAATATTGTGGGTAAAATTAGAGTTCATAGGCCCTGACTAAATGCTATGGGGCATCTCCTATAAGTAAAGTATATGAGTTTTAATGGAAGCCCTTAGCAACACTCTCTGTGGTTCCTCAGAAACCCTGTTTGCTTTCCTCCTTCCTGTGAGCCAATGCCAGAAACAGGCCCACCTCTCACCTGTGTTCTGGATAGGTGAGGTTGCCAGAAAACTGAAGTGCTGTGACATTAAATATGATCTTTCTAGCCCAGGGGTTTCTTTCCACTATTTAAAGACCCATCATTTTCAAACTGTGCTTCAGGCTACAGGGTTTAACAGCAGTGCCTTGGGCTGGGGAGGGGAAAGCCAGGAAGAGGGGCCAAGCAAGCGGGCTCTGTTCCTAACATACCCGCTGCAGCCAGCAATGTGCCTTTTTTTGTTTTACAGATCTGTCTGCAAATTAGCTTCCAGACACTGTTCTACCCACCTCATCTGGTCTTCTCACCCCTCTGGGAGATAAGAAGACAGAATTTTCCCCTCTATTTCCCTGATATGAACCCTGAAGTCCAAAGACCCAGTGATGTGCCAGGTAGACAGATGATGCAGTGTTCTGGGCCACACAGGCAGGAGCCAGCCTGCCAGGGTTTAACCCCAGCTGTGTGACCTTGGGCAAGTCCCTTAAGCTCTCTGTGACTCAATTTCCTCATCTGAATAATAGAGGTAACAACAGCATCTACTTCACTGATTGTCGTGAGAATTAAATGAGTGAATATACATACAGCCCTGAGATTATATATACATATATATATATGTATATATGTATATATACGCCTGGCGTATCTTCAGTGCTCAGTGTTAGTTGTTATCAGGCACTGGGCAGAGCTTAGCATTAGGAGAGGCATTAGAACCCAGGCCCCGGGGCAGGTGCTGCTGACAGTGACCATCTGGGGTTCCTGCCCAGGCTCAGCATAAGAGCCTCCCACTGGCCGCTTCGCTCCCCCTCCCTGCTCCGGCCTTCCCTAGGGAAGCTGTATCCTGGGCCCAGGCCCAGCGGGCCAGCCACAAGGCAGAGGAGGCACCTGGAGGCCATGAAGCCCACTGCAGCCCACAGGTGCAGCAAGCGCAAGGGTGGGGCAGATGCTGCGTGGGAAGCTGCCACCAGTGGGCTGGTTGCTGGCTTCTGCTGCTGCCCCGCTCTGTTCCCTTGTGTACCATCCCCCCTGCCCAGATCCTGCCATGGGGGCTGCTCCTTGCTGCTGCTCTGCCCTAGGGAAGGTGGGCCCAGGGACTCTGGACTGGCACAAATGTCCTGGAGGTAAATGGTCAGGATCTTCTGGTCTACCCAGGGCTACAGAACCGCCTGGATTTCCAGGTCCTACCCCTTCCTCCAACTTCACACTCCAAGTCAGGGCAGTGATGTGGTGACTCACATCCCCTCCCTCCCCCTGGGGCTCCAGCCACCAGCCTGGGCTGTGAGCATCCTGGATCTAGCCAGCTCTGCCTCCATCAGCTTTTCTGGGCTGGTCATGCCCCCTCTTTGTAGAGATGGGGAAACCAAGGCCCAGAGAGGCACAGGGCACCCTCCCCAAGTGGGGTCCTCTGCCCACTGTGTGGTCAGGGCAGGGGAAGCAGGCCATTCACATACTAGCCACAGGTCCTAAGCAGAGCTGGCCTGGAAGAGAAGGAAGGCCTGGCCCATGAGCCCTCATCCTCCTGGCTGTGGCCCCAGGAAAGGCCCAGGGAGGGCCAGGCTGTCGGGCTGGGGCTGAGCCAGCTGAGGGGAGGGCCAGAGCCTCTGTGGGGTTGGAGGTGGCACCTTGGGACAGCCATATTCCCCAGCTCTAACCAGAGAGGTCTCTGCTTTTCCCCAAAAGCCACTGGGGACAGCCAGATCTTGAGGAGAGAGGAGAAGGTTGAAGGGCAGCTGGAAAAAAGCTGAGGGGATCCAGGCTCCAAACTGGGCTTGCCGACTATGCGGCCTGGGCCAAGCCACTTTACCTCCACCACTGGCCGGGTGCCCTTACTTCATGGGGAAAGGGACTTGCTTTATGCCTGTGCTGAATTTAAGAAAGTGAGCAAAGAATTGCCCGCCTGTCTGCCTCCTTGGAGGACCCCCAAGGTCTGCAAAGGACAAGGGGTTGGGTGAGGGGAAGAGAATTACCATTTGGTGTGCCCGCAAGGTGCTGGGGCTTTAATGCATTAGATCGCCTCACTTAACCCTCCCATCCAGCTGGTATGTTTATTTTTATTTATCTCCACTATATAGGTGGAGAGACTGAGGCTCAGACACATAAAACGGCTTGTCCAGCCTGTAAGCAACAGAGCCAAAACCTCATCCACGTTTCTCTCGTCCCCAATCCTGTGACCTCTCCTGTGCCCCACCTGGCCTCTCAAGCCCCCACCCACATATTACTCTTCTGAGGATGGAGAGAGGGGTCTCCCAGAGGGGAAAGCAGCCCTGGGAGCACAGGAGAGACCCCTGCCCACGTGTTGACATTTACAGAGATCAGCACCCCAGGCTGAGGACCTCCTTGGTCTTCCAACTCAGCAGGGACGGTGGCCCAGGCCACCTCCACGACAGTTAAGACAAAAACTCAACCACTATTTCTATGAGAAAACCCGCCTCTTGGAGCCACATCCCCATCAATTACCATGGGAAATTCCCACCTGGCTGGGCCCCCCGGCTTGTTCGACGCCCCCCGCTGTTTCCACTCACCCAAAAGGCATCTTTGAACTGCAGCTGTGGCATCATCCCCAGGCGTCTGCCGCGGCAGAGCTCGCTCTCCTGCCACAGGCCGAGCTGCAGAGGGCCAGGAGCCAGCAGCACCGTCCCAGGCCCCCCCTCGCCGGCGCCGTCTGCAGCGCTCAGAAGGCAGCCACAGGCCAAAGGCGAGCTGCCCGAGGGAGGAAAAGGAGGGCTTAACCTGTTTTGTTTGGGGCTAGAATCAGCAGCAAAATGAGGAAGGAGCGGGGCTCGGTGATGGGAAGGCAGGCGGTGTCAGGCCCAGCCCAGCCCCTGGCCAGCCCTGCAGTGATGGAGGACACAGTCTGGGACCTAGGGCAGGGATGGGGGATGCCAGCCCCAGTGGGAGGCTGGCGCGAGAGCAGGCTGGCACCAGAGCCAGGAGGGCAGGGAGGCTGTGGCTTGTGCAGGAAGGTTTGTGCAACCTCCCCCGGGGCAGGCACGAGGGCCCTCGCCCACAGGAAGTGGAGCTGCTGTGCTCCCCTGTGCAGCCCTGCCTGCCACCTGCCGTCATGCTGCCTGTCTCTTCCCCATGCCCTGGCTCAGTTTCTTCCCAGAGGCCATAAACTTAGGGAGCTTGAGGCCCAGTGATGGTATGGGCAAGGAAGGGCCCAGGAACCCCAGATGCTATGGCCCACCAGCCCAGCCCCAGATGGGGCTGCAGCCCGGCCTGTGCTGGTCCAGCCCAGGGCCAGAGATGCTAGACCCTCCACCCCTCACCAGTAAACCATTCTGGAGCAGCTCATACAGGCCTAGGACATCTACCATTCATCAAATGCTCGCTGCTTGGTGCCCTGGTCCTGCCCTCAAGGAGCTCCCATCTGGGGGCAGACACTGCTGTGCTCTGGGGGCTGTGGGAACACAGAGGTTAGGTGAGTGGGTAACTAGCCAAAGGAGAACAGCCTGAGGCCTCATGGGCATTGCCCCCCACCACCACAAGTGTCCAGATTAGACACTCTCTGGGGAAGGGAACACCCCCAACCCCAGCCTCGAGGATGTAATCTTCAGGCTCGATGAATGTGATCATACAGGCTCGATGAATGTGATTATAAAGATACAGAGGTGGCAGTTTGGAAGCTCAGATTGAGGCCCCAGTTTTTGTCTAATTTGGGCTCTACACTTCAGTGGCTGAGGGACCCCAATCAACCTTTCAGTTCTCTGAGCCTCAGTTTCTCCATTTGCCACCCTCAGTCTTTGGAAAGGACATGGTATCAAGAACATTTCTGGGATTTCCAGTTTGGCAGGACAGGTGCTAGGGGCATTGTCTGGTACCACCTTAGGAAAAGCCCCATGCTAGAGCCCCAGACACAGCCCTGAGGAGCCAGGGCCTGCCCACTCAGCAGAAGATGCCAGCAGGGAGTCCTGAGCCCAGGGTGGCTGGCAGAAAGGGATGAGTCAGGGCTTGTCCACAAATCACCACCCTCACCGACACCTGCCTTACATTTGACTGGGGGTGATAAGAGACGAGAGCGGCTGCAGAAGAAACAGCTAAGCTTCCAAGGGCCGGTTATGCATGCCCAGGGCTTAGAGAGGTGGGGTACAGCCGAGCTGTGAAATAGCGGCCCAAGAGAGAACACATCAGGGAGAACTGCAGAGCAATGGGACTGCCCCAGGAAGCCCTCTGCTTCCAGAATCCTTGAACTTGAGCTAATACACATCTTTAGCATTGAAGGCACTCCAGACAGGTTTTCTGTTACTTGCAGCTGAAGGCAGCTAATGGTGTAAAATCACGTTGAACTTCAAAGGCTGCCCTGACTTGGAGTGTGAAGTTGGGAAAAAGAATAGGGCATGGAAATCAAGGCCACTGTGCAGCCCAGGCCTCTCATCCCAATGGCATCACCACCTCTAACAGCACTGACTCAGACTCCCTGAACTCAGTTTCTCCATCCATAAAATGGGGTGATGCCTCTAGTTCTGGAGGCAGACTAGAAGTCCTCTGTTAAAGGAAAGCTCCTACCCTCTTCTTGGCAGAAAACTTCCCAGCTGGGCTCCCTTCCCTGCCTCTCCAGGTCTTCTTCCCATCACCTCCCACAAACTCCTGCTCCGGTCAGGCCTTTCCCTGTCCCCAGAGGCACCCACTCACGCCTGCCTCCACACCTGTGCACCTCTGTTCCCCTCCTCCCTTCTTGATCTTTCTCACCTGGGCGAATCCTTCCATCCCTCAAGACCAACCTCAAGTCTCCCACACATGAAGCTTTCCTTTCCCAATTGTGCTGGTCCAGCCAGTGCAGCCCTGGACAGATGGCCATGCTGACTGTGGGCTGGAGCAATTGGGGAAGGGATTAATGGGAGGAGCATCAGGAGAGTTTCTGGAGTTCTCCAGTAGAGAGAGGTCTTTCTCTCTCCCCGCCCCGTCCCACCATTACCTTCGGCAGCTCCTAAGGTTGGGCGTCGAGAACAGCCAATCTGCCTTTGGAGCGCTTACCAAGTGCCGGTGCATCATTAAGCTTCCTACACAAACCACCTTACTTAGTCCTCACGCCATCCTGTGGGGTACACGCTATCATTATCCCCCTTTACAGATGAGCAAGCTAGTGATTAAGGAGTTTATGCAGCTCATCCAAGGTCTCACAGTCAGTAAGTGGAGGGCGGGGCTTTGGTCCCAGCCTGTCTGATGCTGAAGCACATGGTCTTAACGTTCACAGTTATCTTTTACCAATGGCCCTCTATTAAAAAAGAGTTTCATCCTGCCTTTCTCTGGCTCTGCCTTAAGAACCTCTCAATGGATAGATGGAAACACTGAGCCCCAGGAGGCTGTTGGGGCCGATGTTGCTATTGGGATGCGAGCCCAGCCTTGACATATCTTCTTTTGTCGTCACTGTGTTGTTTGCATCAGTTGAAGATGAGTTTCTCCTTCATTTACTGTCTTCCTCCTTGGCCTGGTAGCCAAGAGCCTGCAGCAGTTCTAGTCTACAATTCCTGACACAGCCATGTCGAGAGGAAGAAAAGGGACACCTGTCCTTGTGCCTTATTTTCTCAAAGTCCCTCCCCACAGCCTCCCAGGGGACTGCCCCTCGTGTCTCATTGGCCAGAAGTGGGTCACATGCTCATACTTCACCATCACTGGCCACACGGGCCATGGGAATGGGATCCCTTGACTGGGCGTTATGGATGCTGGGAGCGACCGCCATGACCACACAACCTTCTCCTTAGTCCAGGCCCACAGATACTGCTGGGCACCGACTCCTGCCAGGCCCTGTTGGAACTGGGGCCCAGAGGGGAGGCAGACCTGAGCTCTAACCTGAGGGGCCCATAGACTAACAAGTTCTAGAAAGATCTCTCTCCATGGGGAGTGGCTTGGAGTGAGACCAGAAGAGGATGTCGTGGTAACTCTGAGAGAGGGATGAGGCCTGGATGGAGCAACCAGGGTGGGAGTAGGTGGATTGGTGGGACGTCAGGGAGGTGGAGGAGCAAGACTGAGGCATCTGAGAGCCCCTCAGAAAAGGGAACTGTACTGGGGGACCCCTCCCTCACAGCCCTCCCCCCGGAGAGGAATCCAGTCCTGAAAATCAGGGTTTTTTAGTGACTGTTGCAGCTGTTACAAAACATTTGCCTCGAGGTCTGGGCAGCTGTTCCTCAGGCCAGGCTGCAGCTCCTTTTTTAAAGGGGGAGTCCCCCACAAGCAGAGCCCCAGCCTGTTTTGCATAGTATTTGAACACATCTGCTTGAAGAATTCAAGAAGGAGTAAGTCCTAGGATTGAGAATAAAATACAAAATCAGTTGTTACAGCATTGGTTGTCACAGCCAGCCACCCAGCAGGGCTCAGCTCCTGAATCCACCTCATCCATCCTTTTGAGTCACATAAACAACAAAACACTAATAACTAGCCACCATTTAGGGAGTATTAATACCTGCAGGGCCTGCACCAATTTCACATGCTTGATCTCGGTGTTTGCTCACTACCAGGGCCAGCTACATCATTTGTGGAGCCAATGCAAAATTAAATGTGAGACCTCTTATTAAAACATAAAACTTTTTCCTTTCCTGCAGTCTCTTTCTCAACCTATTTAATGTTATGCTTCCTGGGGCATGGGAATATTTGTGGAACAACCCCCCCAACTCTTGGCTCAGTTTTACATGAAACCCCTTAACTGCTGGGGTTCCTCCTCCCGCTGAAACCCGCTAACTGCTACCAGCCACCGGACTGACCTGCCTTCCCCAGCTGGGGTTGGAGAAATCGAGCCAGGCACCCTATCTTCCATGGCCCTGCCTCCCCAACCCAGGGTGGACAGGCAGTCCCCAAGGGTATTGCTAACTCCATGCCAGGATGCACTAGGCACCTGGGTCAGAAGTGAGTGAGAGACACCCCTCTGAGTCACCTGCTGAATGTGCCATGAGTTGTCAGCCTGGAGCAGGGACAGCACTGCCATGCCCCATTGTGAGATGCTACCGGTCATGACCTCAGCCCTGAATCTCCCCATGCCCGCACTCAGGTCCCTGCTAGGCAGGACTGGAGGTGGAGTCTGAGAACCAATCCAGGAGGGGCAGTGGGAGGCAGGACCACACAAGCCAAGGCTCCAAGCCCTTGATGCATGCTTCGTTGTCCTATCAAATGACACTTAAAAAACACAATTTCAAAGAATTAAGAATATCAAGACAACAGTCTCAGAGCGTTAAACTCCAAGTGCAGCTCCCTTCTGAGCACCAGGGCCCTGAGCAGCTGCACTGGCTGCACATCCAGGAAGCCAGCACTGCTCGCTACTGTCTGTTTTCCACACAGCATAGTAACATTTTCAAACCCAAATTCAGTCATGTCACTTTCCCGCTGTCACCTTGCTATGATTTCCCATTGTTCTCAGGACAATAGACATCGTCTATCCTTCCATAGCCTATAGACCCTGCATGATCTAGCACCAGCCTACTCTTCAAAACTTCAACTGACACTACTCCTCTCTCAATTCCTGGTATTGCTTCCTGGGCCTCCTTTCAATTCCTCCGTCTTGCCTCATTCTCTTCTACCCCAGGTCCTTTGCACATGTTCTCCCCTATGCCTGGAAGGTTCTTCCAGCCCCATCCCTGCCTTGGCCCAGCTAACTACTCCTCATCCCCTGGCTGTCTTATCAAGGGTCACCTTTTCAGGACAGTCTTCCCTGACCAATGCATGGATGGCACGATGCACAAAATGCATACAAGACTGAAAGCAAATAAATACTGGTTTGAAGGAAGTTCAGCCAAGTTCTCAGACACTGAAAGAGAAGATGTTGTCAGGGAAACAGCCCGTGGAGATAAAGCTGATGCCAGGCTGGAGGTTGGAGCTGCACTCAAGGGGGTTTAGGATTCTAATTTGTAATCCAGGAAGGATCTGAAGCAAGAGCTGGAGGCTTCTAAGGAGGGGAGGGAGCTGGAGAGAAGGAGTATCTGAAAGCTCACTTGGTGACATCCAGGGAGCCAGAAGGTCATTGCCATGGATTTCATTTGGAAATGGCATTGCCACTGGTCAAAGGGGCATTTGTTTTATCCCTTACGTTGTTCCCATGCTGTCTCGATAATATCTGCCTTTCTGTAGGTAGGACAAGAGACAGTGCATCTCCTTCCTGGAGGGATCTCTCCTGGACCCGCCAGTGGGTTGTGGCTAGATGGGCATTCATGAGCTGGCTGTGTAGCCCTCAGGTGGGTGCACTGCCACAACACTGCCCACAGCTGACAGGTTGCCCATGCACCCCATAGCTGAATTGGGATGTTTCAGTACCTGGCTCTGGTAGTCCACTGTTCCTGGGGCAAATGACTGCAGGGGTCCCTCATGCCAGAGGCATATGTCCACTCTGCTGGGGTCCCAACTGTCAACGCCACCCACCCTGCCCCAGAATGGAATAAGCCCCACTGCAGTGCACCCACCAGCACTTACTGAGTCTTCTTGTCTGGGGATGTGAAAATGAACAAGGCATGGCTCCTGCCAGTTTGAGGGGGGAGGCAGCCCAGGAAGGGAAACTGTGCTAAGAGACAGACAGCAGTATGTGCACAAGGAGGGAGAGGTGAGGATCTGGGGCCTGGGAAGTCCTCCCACAGGAGGGGAGCTGGGTCTCGATTAATGAGAAGGTGTTCACCAGTGAGATGAGACGGGAAGGGAGTTCAGAATAACAGTTAATAGTCTACCGGGGTCTCACTGCATCAGGCCCTGTGCTAAGCACTTTGCACACCTAATATCTCACTTAATCCTCCCAACAACCACATGTGAGGCCCCATTCAACAGATACAGAAACTGAGGCTCAGAGAGGCAGTTAACTTGTTGGGGTCCCATCGTTGAATGGGGTCTTTCCTCCCCAGAGTGTGGGGCTGGAGGTGAGGGGCTGGGGCCTGGGGCAGAAGCAGGATGAGGAGGAAGGGGAAAGAAAGGAAGTCCCCAGCTGGGAGGAAGTGTGGTGCCTGGGCCATGGGGGTGGGGCTCTCAGACGCAGGCTCTGCTCCTCTGATGCCAGGAAACATCCTTGCCCCAGAGCCCTCAGCAGGCCTGAGGGTGTGGCCCCAGTCCCCAGGATGTGATAAAGATTCTGTTCTTCAGTTTGCCCCAAGGAAAGCAGTTGCAAAAAAATAAGGCTTCTTCCTACTTAGGCAGCTATTTTGAGTTGACAAAGAGCTTTCACATTTACTAACTTGCAGCCGCAAGAGTGTGACTCTAAGTTTCCAAGCATTATCAGTCTTCAGAAGCGGGGCTGGTCAGGATTCTCAAAAGCAATCAAAGAGGCGGAAGTTAGCTGGCTCAGTAACTGGAACCAGGCCCAGCAGACGTCAGGCAGGGGCTCCTTCAGTAAGTCCCAAGGATTGCCACCAGCCCACTGGTGAGAGGGCAGAGACCATCTGGAGGTTCTCAAATGGTGGAAAGAAGCCCTGTGGGACTTTGTGAAAAAACAGAAGACCAGGTCCCAACCTAGACCTACTGACTGTGTTGGGAACAGAGAGTCTGCATAGTTTTTAGGTTTCATAAGTGAGTCACACATACACCCTTAAATCAGAACTCCTGCCTCTTTTTACAGATGGGGAAACTGAGGCCCAATATGCAGCAGAACAACTGATCCGACTGACAGGGCAGGCAGGGTGTAACCACCCCCAACTGTTCTCCCTTTCTAGCTTGTTTTATTTTTCCCATTATGGCAGGTGTCTCTCCAAAGAGCTTCAAAATAGTTCTTCAGCATCCTTTCCCCAGTTTGGTTGGTTTTAATTTAGCTGGAAAATAACTTGTTCACAATAAGGCAAAGCCTGATTTCAGCCCAGTTGGTATTTAATCACCATCAAGATCCTGGGATTCAGAGGCAGGAGACCTTGACTTCAGTCTTGCCTGGGCCAGAAAATCAATAAGCAGAGATATGAGGAGGGGCCCGTATGCAGGCAAGGGGAACAGCATGTGCCAAGGCATGGAGCCAGGAAGTCCTGGGCATGTCCAGGAACTGGAGCCGGGGGCCGGGGGGAGGCTGAGCACCTGACCTGGAGTCGGGGGAGCTCCAG